CGTGGAGGCCTTAGTCTTTTTGCAGCCTGCCCACTTGCAGCGTAGCATGCAGTAGCCGTGCGGCGCAATGGTTGAAACAGCTGAGAAGTCGAGTACTATTTGAACGGCGTCCCTTGTTGGCAGATAGGTGCCGAGCCCCTGACTCAGTTCAGCTCAGTTGTACTCTTCGCCAATACACAGCACGTTGCCGCATGGTTTGCTGACAGGCAAACACCGTGGGGAAAAGTTCACGAGAAGAGGTCTTCCTGGTCTTGATAGCCATCTGTGCAGTGAGCCGCCAATCCTTTGTGCACGGCGCAGGTTTCTGTGCTACACGTCCAAGACCAGAGTTGAAGCTTTCGAGTTTGCGAGGCCTGCTTCCACGGTCTGCAGACCAAATAAGCTTCCAGCTACTGCCAACGGCCTTACTTGGTTACTTGGTTTGTCCAGGGTGTTACAGGTAAGCCATTATCAGTTGCCGGTGTAGTGCCACGTTGGATATTGACCACTGCTGCGTGTAGCATCAAATGATCTCAAGCGCCAGGTCTTGTCGACAAGACTATGCGGAAGAATCGTACCACCCATTGCGTGGGCCTCGGTGTCGCGAGCTTGCCATAATGTCCCGGGCACGAAAAGGCAAAGCAATCAACTGTACATATATGATACATGACTCGAATGACTTCGCTCGGCTTTGGATGTCGGCCGACTCTACTGGCCTCCATTGTAGCGCCAAGGTTTCAGGGTTTCTGGTGCCCTCCTATCTGTGCAGTTGCAGTTTAAGCTGCAAGGAGGTGAGCAAGCTTTCTCGACCAGCTGTGAACTGTTTGCTCCTCCACTTCGAGAGTTTGCTGCAGTTTCGCGCTGACCAGACTGACATGTGGACCTCGGGCCTGCAGAGCGTGCTGAGTTCGTGCGGGGTTCCCTTTGCCCGGGTTCGGGTGACTTCTCTAGGCACATGACTCACAGGACCACTTTTGCGCAGACCTTTTCTTGAGACCCGAGGTGGAACAACTGCAACCACTTCTCAGACTCGATGCGCCGCTTCTTGCAGGATCAGTGCCTGGGATGCAAGGGGTACGGACCGTCTCACCGTTTCAAGCAGATGTGAGCCTCGCAGTGCATGGCCTTTGTTACGCAATGCGACGCACGCCTTGCGGCACATTGCTACACGCATGGCTGCGCGTTGCTGGCTGTGTGTGTGAGGTCCGTGCCAGAAGATATTTTGCTGCAACATGAGGTGGTGGGCAACACAGCTGATGGCATTTGGAGCTTCCGTAATGACCTAAATCCTCGCTGACACGAGGTCCTGGAAAACAGGGTGATTCAGCTGGCGGCACGATGGCTACTGTGAAATCGGTGTGGCGGTGCACGCTTATGCTGGCTGCATATGCTCAGGGCAAACAGTGCAAACGAAACACTGTTGTGCCAGTTTGCCTGGATGCGTTGTGAATATTTGTGAATGTCGGCCTCAGTTTAAGCCCACTTGGAGGATCATGGGACTTAGTAAGTAAGGTTATAAGTCCCCTAATTGGGGTTATAAGTTATAAGTATAGTTACCTTAGTTATGAAACAGAGGCCAAGTCAGATTTGGCGCTCGGGTTTTGGATGAAGAGGGGATGAGGAGAGGGCAGTGCAGTGGGCGAGGGAGGCAAAAATGAAGAGGGGAGGGATGCTAAAGGCACATCATCACCACGGCAATCAGGCAAAGCTTCGTGTAACAGCCCTCGTGCTCGCATTCTTAGAACAACAAGTATCTTATAACGGCAGTGCGTGGCAGGTGAGCTGGCAGATGGTCAGCAGAAGTCGGCCCGAATCTGGACAGCACTGCTGGCAGAGCATGATGCCAGGCCTGATCATGCCCATGGTCTCCCTTAAAGAAACTCTGAACCGCAAGCAAACTCCCGAAAAAGAGAGAGGCGAAGCAGGAGGGAAGGAAAAGCAACTAAACCCTAAACACTAAACCGAAAACCCCTAAACCCTAAACCCTAAACCCTAAACCCTAAACCCTAAACCCTAAACCCTAAACCCCCAAAAAAGAAACCTAAAACCCCTCAGCCCTTCTGGCAGGGCTCCGTCTGCCATGGGTAACATCCTCTCCGCGCTGAAGTTTGGCGAAGGAGGCCTTCTTGAAGTCTTGAAAGTCTCCTTTGGCTTCAGCTTAGCTTGTGGGGAGGCATTGTAAAAGCTTCCCAGAAACTTTAGTACGTTAGCAACTGTTGTTCACGTGTGTATGTTAAGAGAGAGAGTTCCTGTCATCCTGTTTGCAGGCACTGCAAAGCTTACCGCCGCCAAAGCCGGGTTGGTGGGAGGACCAGTGTCAGGGAGGACGAGCAGAGGACCGCAGCTCCGCGATTTTGGTGCTGCATCTCAAGGGTTGGAGAAACACTCTCAAGACCTAAACCCTAAGTTCCTAGCAGCTTAGAACTTAGATAGCCTGTGGCGGCGAGTGCCCAAACTCTCCACAGCCGAACCAATCGACTGTCGACGTAGACGACTCCAAGGTCGACGTGAGGACATTGGAGTGTTCGAGGTTTCAGGGCGCTTTATCTCAAGCGAAGAGACGCTGGCATCCACGGTCTTCTCATAGTCTTCCGCTGTTTGGACCCTTTGCCGGCGGCTGAATCTTAGGCTTCAAAGCTGTATACACTTTTTCATCTTTGGAAGGAAACAAGGCAATGAGGCAAACCCACGGTCTAAACCTTGGGTCCAAGGGAACCGACGTGGTTCAATAGTCCTTGTGCATCGCAAAGCTTAAGTTTCAAATCCTAAAACCTGAAGCCTATAAAGCCCCGTCCACTAACTCAGAAGTCCAACACCTCTGAAGCCTCCTCGCCTTGAGCTCCCGCGATGGCAGGACCTGTGACGCCCTGAATACCATGTCGTGCACAGCTCAGCTACCCGCCGCCGCGTGGGGTCCTTCCGCGATTCCAGTGCCACTGGTTTGCAGCGCATAGGTTGAACCCCCATAGCTAGCAAGGCGGTAGCCAGATCCGCTGTAACGAAGCAATTGTTGTAGGAAGGTTACATGCAGCATGGTCCATACAGCACTTGGAACGTAGAGAGCCGCTATATGGGCGAATGATAATGCTCGGTGCCTGTCATATCAGGGTCACATGCAAACCCCAAACAGGATGTCCGGAACCCAGATCCTGCCAGTTCGCCCCAGAACTAAAGGGCCACACTGTAGGATGCATGCTTTGGCAATTGAGTTCTTTCTCTAGGCTTTTGAAAGTCTTGAAGGCACGGAAGGACTTTAGTACCTGAGTGTTGCGTAAGGGTTTGGCATTGAAGGTCTCGCATAGTTTCGCCGCGCCGACTGACCGATGCTGCCAACGTCATGATTGAACCACTGCTCAGATATGTTTCTGTCCAACCCAAAGCCTGGATGTGTACAGCCTTGATTCACATGCCCGAGACCCCTTTGTGATGTTTGTCGAGGCAGTGGCGGATGAGCCGTCGGCTAAGTTGCCGCTTGGCGGACACGGGCATGTAAACTAGGTCCTTCTCGCGAGCATGAAGCGATCTAATCACACTATATCAGACCCCGCAACCTTCTTGGGTTCTTGTGGTTGCAAGGCAGATGTCGCAGAGCCTCTGTTTCCAATTCCACGCTGTTGGGTTATGTGCTTTCGGCGGCGTTCCTTGTGTGACATCACTGCCCAACCGCGAAACCCCGCCAGCTGTAAGCCCAGGTTCCCGAGTGTTTGCCCGATGCTTTCCCGCGATTTCTGCCTAACCCCATCCAACGAGCATCACTGCACATCTGCACACAATGTGCAAGCATGGTTTGGGTGTCTTGCCCGCGGTATAAAGGAAGCAGATGCAGTTTCGTTTATGGGTCTTGCCCACAAAATGGAAGCAGCAGACGTATCCCCTAAGGCCCTAAGGCTAAATCAGCAGACATGGTTTTGGGGCATTGTTGGCATCAAAATGAAAGCGGCAGTCGAGGATTTTGCAACGGACGGGATTTGGTGCGTCCTGCCTGGAGAGTAGAAACAGCCGACGAGCCCCGACAGTAAAAGGAGCAGATCCAATTTTGCGGGGATTTGCCCGCGAAGTCAAAGCAACGGACCTCATTTGGGTTGACACTCACCAAGCGCTTTGCTTGCACCCTTACACATCATACAAAGCCCGGATGATTGTAGACATAGCTCGGGCAGGGGATGACAAGGTTGACATTAATTGTCTGCAGCACCGAGCCGGCTTCAGCCCAACAAACCTGCAACGAAGCCCACTAAGACCAGAGCCTTAAACAAGCCAGCACAAAGGCATCAGCAGGATTGTGAAGACGCCCTTGTATCATGTGCATCCGATGCAGGCTGACCTCCCTGGAACGCAGTCATTCGGAGGCGCCGGGGCTCCGGGAAAATCCTAAAGTGGAGGTAGGGGCCTCCCTGGGGTTTCGTTACGATGATGGCAGTGTTGGCGCTTAGGGGGGGTTTTGCAAGAATCCTCGCTCGTTTATGTGTGCCACGTCCTGGGCTTCCGATTGCAGCAACTCTCAGTTTCCAGCTTGCCGTTGCATCCCGCGCACTGCCACAGCATACGACGCCGCCTGCGCACATACGAAACACAGCTAGGTGGTGGCTGTGGGGTTTTGGAGATTTGGGGTTGTGGGTTTCGGGTGTAAGGCTCAGCATGGCTGTGTGTTCACAGAAGCTCTGTTCGAAGGCTTGATAGGAGATCTTATTTCACCTTGGGCTTCTAACTTGAGTGCAGTTTCAAGCTGGAGGACGCAGACCT